GTTCTTCCCTAATTGTCAAAATCAAATCTAGAACAGCCCCTAGTAGCTTTCTCTGGTTTTGAAAGTAAAAAAAAAAAGTCTCGAACACATTCCAAAATCTTGTTTGATAAGCTGTTACTGTCTGTGTTATTTTCCAAACAGGTGGCTAGGTAGTTGAAATCCCCTATCACCATCACATTCTGTGCTTTGGATGAGTTGAAAGGCTCTGGGTAAGGAGCAAAGTGGTAAAACACACTCTCAGTCCAAGTTGTATACTTTTTTTTATATAAAGGCAACACCTCCTCCTTTTTTCCCTGCTTATCCTTCCTGAGCTAGTTGTAACTTTCTGTACCAATATTCCAGTCTTGCATTTTATCCCCCAAGTCTGTCTGTGATATCAGCTATAGTTGTGTTTATTAACTAGTATTTTGAGTTATTCCTACTTCTTCCCCATATTTCTTGCATTAATAGGCAAACATCTAAGGTACTGATTTGGTTTTTATGTTCTATCTTGTCTGTCTCTCTTCTTACTACAGATTCCATGCTCCACCGAGATTCCAACCCCCCTCCCAGGTCTCCCCGGCTTCAGGGACTTGCCCCCTTGAATCTATTTTAAAACTCTACTCACTAAGGGTATGTCTACACTACCCCACTAGTTCGAACTAGCGGGGTAATGTAGGCATACCGCACTTGCAAATGAAGCCCGGGATTTGAATTTCCCGGGCTTCATTTGCATAAGCCGGGAGCCACCATTTTTAAAACCCCGCTAGTTCGAACCCCATGCAGCACGGCTACACGGTGCACGAACTAGGTAGTTCAAACTAGACTTCCTACTTTGAACTACCGTTACTCCTCATTTCACGAGGAGTAACGGTAGTTTGAACTAGGAAGCCTAGTTCGAACTAGCGGGGTTTTAAAAATGGCGTAGCCACGCGGCACGGGGTTCGAACGAGCAGGGATTTAAAAATGGCGGCTCCCCGCTTATGCAAATGAAGCCCGGGAAATTCAAATCCCGGGCTTCATTTGCAAGTGCGGTATGCCTACATTACCCTCCTAGTTCGAACTAGGAGGGTAGTGTAGACATACCCTAAGTTAGCCAGTCTGTATCCAAATATGCTCTTCCCCTTCCTTGATGAGTTGACACCATCTTTGCTTAGCAATCCTTCTTCCTGAAATAGCATCCTATGGTCAAGGAAGCCAAAACTTTCCTTGCAACACCTTCCTTGCAATGAATTCTTCATGGGCATGGATGTTCCTCAGTCTTGCCTTCTCTCCCATCTTCTTCCTGGGCGATTCTACCAATAGGCACCTTTCATTATGGACAGTCCCCTCAGACTGGCCTTCTGTGAGTAAGAAATGCAGGACACAGTCTGCAAAGGCACACCAGGATCTGTGCAGGCATACATGGTCAGATTTTCTATTGGTTTAGGGGCAGGTGGAGAAGACACAAGCAGCATTGGCAAAAGCAATATAGCCCTTTCTAACCATAGTGATTATAATATGACTCCCTCCTAAAACACCCTCTCAAAATCTCCTGTTTGCAGTTCCTTGTTTGCTAGTGCCACTTGGTTTTGAAGGCCTTCTCTCCCAGGTTAGCCCTACTCCTTCATTAATCACACAGGGGAAAGGTAATCATAAAGTTGATTGCAGTTGACCAAAGATGATCCTGGGAACAAAGGCTCAAACAGTCCCCAAATACATAATCCTAATTGATCCACTGACTTTAAATAAATGTATCAATGTAGGTGCTGCTTCAAAGCAATTATATTTTCTTCTTTGAGTACTTGTTCATGTCACTTCCTATCAGGTGTGTGCATGCACATGTGCATAGTAGCTGCAAGATTTTCCCATAGCAGCAGCTGTAGGGTTAGCTTGAGCTCCCCCTAGAGTTGCATTTTCATGTCACGCAATATAGAGTCTAACCGACCTGCCACTTACCCATTTCCTTCTTACCACCAGTGACAGTAGCCAAAACTTCCCTGATTCGTGCTCTGGCAAGTGACTTAGTAGTTCAACTCTAGTTGTATTATTCTTGTTTCATCAGAATAGTTAATTTACATAGTTAATTAGTCATCAGTTTCCATTACTAGGTCCCCCCTTTCACCCTCATTCCTTGCTGCCTCTGGAGCATGCCACAATTCTCAGGTTTCAAGATCTGCAAGGATTGCATGATACAACATGCCAAAGAGTGACTCTCACACCTCCTGTTTACTGTATCTGGAAGAAAGTCACCTAAAAGACCAGTGAGAGATCAGCAGCTTAAAATCCTCCTCATGTAGGCAGCTCTCATAGTCAGACCCTGGGTTCTTACCACCAGCACATTTGCAAAAGAAGGCACTGAAGAAAGACATGTTCAAAGAGCCTTGAATCCATCATGGAGCATCTCAGGGACACTCCACACTTCAGCACCAGTTCTAGTCACCAGTGCAGAAGAAGAGGGTTAAAAAAGGACAAACCTCACTACCTAGACCTAGAGACCAGCCATCAGTGTTAGCACAATTGTGTCATGGCTTTGAGAATAGGGGGTGGCCACATTGACTCCTAGCCAGGCGAGTCTGTGCCTGTCACATACACTGACTCCCTCTAAGAGGCTGCCATTTCCACCCTCTACTGAAACATTTGAGGCTGCTAAGAACCTGCCCAGACTCATGATAGTGTTCTTGTCCTTCTGTTTGGGAGATGTCTGCACCACAAGCTCCATCCCATCCTGTGCAGTCGAAGGGAAAATTGGCATTAAATAACACTGCTCCCCATCACCTCAGCAGCTTCAACTGCCAGCACCTCCATCTAGGGAGCTCAGTCAGTTCCTGGACTCCTAGTGCTCCATGTCAAGAGGTGCTGTGCTATGTTGGTCCTCATATTCCAAGGTTTCTGAGTCGACTCATACCACCTTGAGTATAGCAGAAGCAGAAGATCATCCTCCAGGGACCATGGAGGTCCCAACAGAGGAGGTCCCAACAGAAGCAAGGGCCCCCCTCAATGTCAAAACCCAGTTCAATGGCCCTTTTGGACTCCATGGGCTTTCCACCAAGCCGAGGGTTGGAACCAAGGCTCTCACCTGAGTGCCAGTTCAGTTGTATCCTCTACCTTTGTCCCACCATGCCCAGTGGCTGAGCAGCTACCTCTGGCATCAATGCCAGTATCTGCGACAACATTGCCAACACTGGCACTAACAACGAAGAATGCAGCAGTGTCCTCTTCACCAGATATGCCAGAGGCTCAGGTCATGATGTCAGCATTACCCTTGATATTGACTCCAACTCTGGCACCAGCACTAACGCTATCAACAATTCTTATGTCAAAGCTGCTGACCAGCATGGTGCAGATGCGCTGCCTGTCAGTGCCTTTGGCGTAAATGCAGGGACTGATATTAACACCAGAATTGGCGCTTTTCTCAGTGCCAAGACCAAGCATCATTAACACAACTGGTGAAGGAAACCCATGAGCAAATCTTCTGCGGGTCAAGCCACCATTGGAGGGAGTCAAGGAACATGGTGTAAACATGAAGTGCTGATGAGAGACTGAAGAGTATGACTGTGAATTGGTACTGGGTGTTGTTCACTATGAACGTGAGGTACTTCCTGTGGGGCTGAATGATTGTGATAAGAAATTTTGTGTCCTTCAGAGTCAAGGATGGCATACCAGTCTGCTGGATCCAATGAAGGAATGGGGGAGGCCAGAGAGACCACATGGAACTTGAAATTTCTTTATGAACTTCCTTGATCTCTCTCAAATCCAAGATGGGCCTGAGGCAGTCTATGGCTTTTGATATTAGGAAATATAGGGTGTAAACCACCTCACTCTTGTGTTCCTGAGGAACTCCTTCCACTGCCCCTACAGACAGGAGCAGTTGCACCTTCCGTTTCTGGAATTGTTCATGAGAAGGGTCCCTGAAGAAGGACTGTAAAGGGAGGTGGAAAAGCAGGAAGGCACAGAACTGGATGAAGTATCCCATTTGTATCATGTGGCGCACCTGTCGGTTCGAGATGATAAAGGACCATGCATGGTAAAATGGGGATAGTCAGGATAAGAAGATAAGAGGGAGTGGATCTGTTGCCTGGTATGGTATGTTATCCTTGGCCATGGCTTCAAATGATAGGCATCAGTTGTCCGAAGCCCTGGTAAAAGGTTGATGCGATCTTTCCTGCTACTTCTGTTGCACCTTTGGAAGCCATCTTGGTGGTTCTGCTGACCGACCCTCTTTGTAAGTTGTGTGGGTCTCATTCCCTTCCTTTCTGTTTGATAAGAGAAAGCTGCATACCAAATTTGGTGGTCCTAGCTCTTACCATTTAGAAGGAGTTCTTGAACAAACAGAGAGATGGACAGACAGTTTTGCTCACTCACAAACTCTCTCAAGTATATAGTAAATTTACATTTAATTGATAGAATTTCTTGGGGGTTTTTGATTTAGCACAAAATGTGTGTGCGCCACCAGAAACATTAAACATGCCTTGGGAGAGATTGCTTACAAATCAGCAGATTACAGCATCTTTTCTTTTCTTTTCTTTTCTTTTCTTTTCTTTTCTTTTCTTTTCTTTTCTTTTCTTTTCTTTTCTTTTCTTTTCTTTTCTTTTCTTTTCTTTTCTTTTCTTTTCTTTTCTTTTCTTTTCTTTTCTTTTCTTTTCTTTTCTTTTCTTTTCTTTTCTTTTCTTTTCTTTTCTTTTCTTTTCTTTTCTTTTCTTTTCTTTTCTTTTCTTTTCTTTTCTTTTCTTTTCTTTTCTTTTCTTTTCTTTTCTTTTCTTTTCTTTTCTTTTCTTTTCTTTTCTTTTCTTTTCTTTTCTTTTCTTTTCTTTTCTTTTCTTTTCTTTTCTTTTCTTTTCTTTTCTTTTCTTTTCTTTTCTTTTCTTTTCTTTTCTTTTCTTTTCTTTTCTTTTCTTTTCTTTTCTTTTCTTTTCTTTTCTTTTCTTTTCTTTTCTTTTCTTTTCTTTTCTTTTCTTTTCTTTTCTTTTCTTTTCTTTTCTTTTCTTTTCTTTTCTTTTCTTTTCTTTTCTTTTCTTTTCTTTTCTTTTCTTTTCTTTTCTTTTCTTTTCTTTTCTTTTCTTTTCTTTTCTTTTCTATAAATTGAATTAAAATGGATTCTTCATCTATTCCTCTAAAATTCTTCTTTTATATCTGGGAAATTTCTTACTTTTTTGAGACAGTATCAATATATCAGTGTAATGTAGTTCACCTGTAAATAAATGTATTAACACATTCATATTGAAAGATTTACAGGTTGCTAGATTTGATTTATGTCTGTTATCCAGGTGTTTTCTGCCAAACCCTGATCTTCATGGTGGCATTTCAAGCATGTTTTACATTAGTAAATTTCCAACTGCAGCTATTGTTTCTAACTGCAATTATGGAGGAAATTATTAACACATTTCCCAAAAAGGCAATGGATGCTGTTTACTAATAAGAAGCAGACTATGTAGTTTGAATATTGTGCTGAATATTAAGCAGGAAAAAAATTAATTTCTGATTTTCTCCTTTTTGTGCCTTAACTACCACCATAATGATTCTAACTGTATTGTTACAGCATCATTTTATGACCTCATAAAAGCATAATGGAAATAACTGCTATTTAAAGAATATTATGATGTAGGACACATTTTTAAAGGGACCTATATTTGTATACAGAAATGTATGCGTGTAAATTGAATTTGTATCCACAATGATTTGGATAGACATACCCAGTGCCTCTTTACATATGCAAAGTGTTAAAAACAATTCTTTTAGAAAAAGAAACATGCAAAGCATTATGTGATGGGACTATACAGTACACTGTAAAAAGGACAAAGCAGCAAGAAAACATTTCCTCAGTAAAAATATGAGATGTATAATATGATTTGTGAAGCAAAACGTTACAAGATTATGGCCCTAATTTATCCAATAACATGGACCAAGTAAATTACTGCATTGAAAATAACGCAGCAGAGAAATTTGTATACGTTTAATCTCAGGTTTTGAGGGTATCGTCTGATATACTTTTTGAAAATTCTCTTTGATGTTCATTGAATTCACGACTCCAATTTCAAAAATGTCTTCATAGAAGAAAATAGTTTTCCTTTTTTTTGTGATCCAAACACTCTGCTTCATCAAATGTCCTCCTGTGATGAAGACCTAAAGTGAATAAGATATTAATTACAATCTCTTGATTGCTCTGCTTAGACACAGGTTTATAATTTGTAGATATTGAATATTGCTGTTAGAAATGTTAAGATAAAGCCACACTTCCAGCTCAAGATTGAGACTCTGACCTTTAGACATCATCTCTATATCTCAATTAAACTGCCTTTGTTGGAAATTACAGATAGTTAGAAGATTCAGATGTCCCTTATAGATCCAGATTATCTGTCAAATTACACGATGTTTCTATATAGCATAAAGCAGGTACTATGCCAAAGCATTAAGAGCACTTAAGAACAGTCCCCTAGCTAGAGCTATCCAAACACCTCTGACATCAGCCACTGCTCCTCAAGTCTGTCCCTGAACCAGTGTGCCACAGGGAGGAAAGTGTAGGAGCTGACTGGGATACCAGAAGACTCTAGGGCTATGTCTAGACTGCAGGCTTCTTTCGAAAGAGCCTCTTTCGAAAGAGAGCGTCTAGACTGCATGCAGAAATTTCGAAAAAGTGGCTTGCTTTTTCGAAAGAAAGCATCCAGTGAGTCTGGATGCTCTCTTTTGAAGAAGCCCTATTTACATTGAAGAACGCCTTCTTTCGAAAGAAGAACTTTCGAAAGAAGGCGTTCTTCCTTGTGAAATGAGGTTTACCGCCATCGAAAGAAAAGCCGCGTTCTTTCGAATTAATTTCGAAAGAACGCGGCTTGAGTCTGGACGCAGGGGAAGTTTTTTCTAAAAAAGGCTACTTTTTTCGAAAAAAACCCTGAGTCTGGACACAGCCTAGCAGTGGAGTTACAGCCAGTGTGAACAATGCAAATGGAACAGAGTGGGCCAGAGTATCTAAAAAATCATGTTTACCTGGATCCTTCACTCACCTAACTCCTGTATAAACCCTGAAAAATTTAGCTTCCACTTACTTTTTAAATGTATCTATACACACACACACATATACAAATATAAAGACACAAGACAGGCCATGAATGAAGATTTAATCTAAATTTTCTGGATCTTCATATCTCCTGTTTTTGTGACATCTGAAGACATGGAAGTGACCCTATAACTCAGTCTACATTGGAAAATGAGCCATTACTCACAAAACTGTCTGGAAGTATTGCTCAGAAAATTAACAGAGGTTTCTTTTGAGTTGCTCTAGGGGCAACTTGTGGTTCCAAGCATACCTCTTTGTTTTCAGCTGAGTTTCACCTTATTTTAAGGGGGTGGGGTTCATTTGTATCCAAAAGCCAAAGCAACATTCTGGGGGGAGGGGGCGGCGGGGGGGCATATGAACCTACTTGATTTAAAATCAAAGAAAAGAATTCCACAAACAGTTCCAAACTGAACCCTCTGTTTCAAACACACCTATTGAGAACCACCTTAAACATGCATCTACTGTTCTGAATTGATTTACCAGAGACCTACCATAGTTGAAAAGAAGGCAAATCTTAACGGTAATTTTTTTGAAGGTGTGTTTTATCTACTCATCTGTTGGTCTTATTCTTTTATATTCTAACTACCACAAGTCTGTGTGCATTATAATACAATTCAAAAGGAAATAACAGTCTGTTAGGAGGACATAATTATGAAAATGAATCACAGGTAAGTCAAAAAGCATGTAGGTGTTAATGGTGTTGACATTAACTTCAGTTTATACAGTTGGCTTATTGATAGCAACACAAAAGAAAAAACAAGATGAAAATAAGTCATTTTTAAAAAGATTTGTTGAAATATCTTGCAAGGAAAAATAATGAAGTACATGGGGTTTAAAGTAGGGATGTTAAATTGTGATTAATCAGTGAAATTACTTGATTAGTCGATAAGGGGGGAGAGGGACACTAGCTATTTCAAAGGCAGAGACGCAGCAGGGAACCCAGGGTGAGCAAGGACTGCTTCAGGGTACTAACTGCTCACACAGGGTCCAAAATGTTGCACGTCTGCCTTTGAAATGTAGCAAGAGCCACTTGCCACTTGAAGCAGACCCTGCTCACTCCCAGTCCCAGATGCTGCGAGGCGGCTCTTACTCCATTTAAAAGGCAGAGGCACAGCAGGGGACCAGGCACGAGCTGGGAATCAGTTGTCCTGGCTTGCGCCCGGTCCCCTGCTGTGCCTCTGCCTCCCTGCCCCGCACAGAGACAGTGGTGGGGAGAGCCAGCTTTTAGGCTGGCTCCACCTGCACCAACTTCTGCTTCCACCCCTTGCTGCCTCTAATAGAGGCAGCCAGGGGAGAAGCGACTAGTCCAGTGATTCAACTATCCAACCAGTTGCTTACATCCCTATTTTAAAGCCATATATTTTTCTTTGTGGCAATGAGAGACCTCCTTTTTAGCCATGTTATTTAGGGCTTTCTGCAACTCTTCCAATTTCAATGACAGATCAAAAATTAGCAACATTCCTCATATCATAGTTGCAACTCCTAAATATCAAGATCTTAACACCGTACATAGCTCTTCTTTTTCTTTCATTTCTACTTATTTTTACTGCTTTTTCCTAACTTCTGCTTTTTTGAATTATTTTGAGACACCAAATTGTGTTTCTTAATTTATTTTACATATTTCATGCTGTTAAAATGCTACCACCTTTTTCTTCATCTTACTGTGATACTGCTGACTCCAGGAATTTTGGTTTGGCTTTGTGTGGTTTGTGAACACTGATTATCAATATTTGAATATAGTTATTACATTACGATTGATCTTTCTCTACTGGTCATATATTAAGCGAATATACAACATGAGATAAAAGACAATACCAAAGTAAGATTTTTCTTTATTGTATTTTTATAGAGACTAACATAATTTGATAGTATTTTTGTTAACCACCAGATTTTCAACATTATGACATCATAACTGATTATAATATAAATTATGTGATTCAACTCACTAATTTTAGACATCAAAATGAAAAGTATAAATAAAAGAGAGAGAGATTCTAAAAGACCAATACTCTGGATAATAAAAGTACCTTAATCTTGACAAGTGCTATTGTTAGATCGGCCCTTTCAAACAAGCACTATCAACCACTTTTTGAGTATTGCATTTTTCATTACTATCTACTGCAATAAGAAACTCCTACAGATATTTCACGGAACTTAGTGAAATATATAAATATAAATATATTTGTATTTATACATCTGAAATGTAAATATGCATATCAGAAGAAATGACACAGAAAATTATTGAAAATAACAAGCAGTCCTGTTGCACCTTAGAGACTAAAAAATGTATTAGGTCATGAGCTTTCAAGCTTTTGTGGGAAGATTTTTATATAATTAAATGATCCTGAGCCTGGACTCATTGCTGTTTATGGCAGGGCTCCTATTGCGTTTGATAAGAGTAAACTCGGGCCCATAATGAGCTCACTTACAGTTCATTTATTTTTTCTGCTTCTTGGAACTCTCTCATAAACAGGAATAGCTTTTCATTTCAGTTTGTGTAAGAGTCAGTACATCATATAGGAACTAATCCTACAGCCCCTACAACAAAAATGTAGATGATATCAAAATTGCAGAACATAGGTCCAGATTGCTGTTGCTAAGAATCCAGTGCGCATGACATTGAAATGTGCTCTACTGTAATGGTGTCATAAAAAAGAAAGGACTTTGAAGCAGATTAACAAGATTTTAAAGGTGCAGAATCAATGAGTGACTTTAAATCTATTAGTTAAGCTGCTCTGAATTGTTGATGAACTATGTAGATGAGTACATTCCGCAACCATTTTAGAGAGGCAGACACAAATGTGCATAGTATAATTCTGTGTCAGAGTGAGGCAAGTGAGACAAGTGAGCCTTGTTTCTAATGGTATCAAGAAAATTGCTAATGCAAGGAAGGCTGTGTTTTGTATATTTTACAGGAACTGGGACCCCAGAAGTGGGATGACAAGTAATCTATGTATTTGTTTCAACTTTAATTTAATAGTCATCATTTTCAATTTAGACCTTAGAGCCTGGTTGTGCTCTCTTTTGGTGGCAGTTTTACCTGTGTGAAGACTGCAGATTCAGATGCTTAGTGCTGTTGAAATTTAGCTTGACTAAATTTTCTTCTCATGATATATACAAAACTTGCATTGGGTTTTTGCTGCTTGTGTGTGTGTGAGGTTAATACATTCTTAAATATGATGTAAGCAATTCAAAACCCCTATCAAAGAAGTGTTTCTACCTATTCTCTGTCTAACCATTTTAAATATTTTCAGGCTGAGTGGGCATGTTATTTAGAATGTTCACTTGACAGTTATTTGCCTCTCTACTTTCAGCTATGACAATGTTGCTCTTTTTTTCTCATTCTTTTTGAACCCCTGTTTATATGTGTGTATTTTTTCCTCTGCCTAGACCTGGTTAACCATTTCTGTGAACAGGTCCTCAATTTTTTACTTTGTCCCTACTTTCCTGTCGTAGCCCCATCTTCCCCTGGTGTCGACTCCGTACCCTTACAGCGCACAGGCAGTCAGCACGGCACACAGAACGCAACATCGACCTTCCAGAGGGCCAGCTATGCTGCAGGCCCAGCCTCCAATTACGCAGACCCCTACCGACAGCTGCAGTATTGTCCTTCTGTTGAATCACCATACAGCAAATCTGGGCCAGCCATCCCACCTGAGGGGACCTTGGCTAGGTCACCTTCCATTGATAGCATTCAGAAAGATCCCAGGTGGGTGAAACCTTATTTTGTCTACCATTACATGTTACTAAAGATAAAATAGGTTGCAATCTACTTCATGTATTTCAAGTAGGGTGTATTATTAAAAAAACAAAACAAACATTGTGATTTGTCCTACAAAAGATTCTTTGTTTGAGTTAGAATTCTCTGTTTCATTGCTTTATTATTTTAGCATGTTCTTGTGAGCTCTCCTTTAAAACAAGATGGCCTTCAGTACATACATTCAGTCTGCCCTTGCTAGGGCCTACATGTGAAATACTATGAAAAGAAATTATGTTGAGACTATGGAATTATAAGTCCTTGAATCTTAATTGCAGTGGCTTAGGTTTGCTTTTTCTGTTCAAGGAGAAAATTTGTTCTTCTGTAAATGTTTAACAATGTGCAAAGTGGCAGCCCAGTGCGAGATTATGACAGTAACAGTGATTAAGAGATAGAATATACTCTGGTCTACTCAGGTTTCTTCTGAAGATAGTGTCTAAGCTCTGCCAGTCCATGACAGCAGAATGATTTGCAATGTAATTTTCAAGACATGATTATTGCTGCCTTCAAATTTAAAAAGTAGAGTGTCTGTTCGTAAAAAACACTGGTCTCTATTACACATGTGCACTCTGTGGTGATATACATATAAATGTAAAATTTATTCATCATGGCGGTTTCTGGATATATTGTAAATCCAAGAATATATGCTTGAGGGCAGCATTCTTAGGGATGAATTGTCTAAAGTGGTGATAATAACAGGGATGGAGGTATTATCAGTAGCTATTAATTCAGTTGATTGTTTGTGTTTGGTTTTGTGGTGCAAAAGATCAGCAGTGTCATGTTTTTTTTTAATGATTCTTGTAAGTTAAATTGTTTTGCAGTAGAATTCAGACTCTCGAGATATTACATAAGCTTTTATTCACAAATACTGTATTTGACTTTCAAAAATATTCTTTTGTACAGGATTTTCTGTGTTAGATATTGATATTTTGCTGTATGCTATTTAGCAACAGGAGCTCCCCAAAATGTGTCCCCATAAAGTTCATTGGGGAGGCTTTTGACCAACAAGATACATAAGATAGAAAGGCAAGATTTCCTTTCTTTCACTGTGGAAGAAAATGTTAATAGCCTTGGCAGCCTGAACTCTGTACAGTAATTGACTCACCTAGTCCAAGAAGCTAACAAACAGCAGATTAATTTCATAGACCATCAGGGACACTATTGCTTCTGGTACAGCTCATTATGCTAGTGGTTCACTTCTGATACAGGAATAATTGCTGTCTCCTCATCCATAACTCTTCATCCTACACCATACATTGGAGTGATAAAAACCAGGCACTGTGTGCTTTAGGTTTTTTTTTCATGTCTTGGCACAAAACAGATAAAATGTCATCACACTAACATAATCTACCCACCTATATGGTCACTAAATACTCGCATTTGTTCTGTGGTATTGAATGCTTGATGGGGATACTGCAGAAAGATATGTACTACTATATTATGGTAGTGTTCGATATATGGTTTAAAAAGATGTAACCTTTGTGGAAAATACACCATTATCACTGTAATGGTGCGATGGTCAGCACCTGCATAAGTTAATATGCTTAGCAATTGTCAAAATTGTTCCTTTTCTGTAAAATGATTGTTTACTTTTGTTTGGTGTTCTAGCCTTATTTTCCAGCCTTTTTGTTTTGTTTTGTTTCTCTTCTTCAAATAGAATTCATGGCATTATATTAATACTGATTTCTGTAAGAATACAGGTGATGGACTAATGATATCCATAGATGTAAGTAGAACTTGGTAAGCTTAACACAAGTAGCAATTTGGTTGTCTACCATTTTTCTTTTAATAAATTAATCATAAACAGGCTGTGATTTTCACACTTTTTGTAACAGGGATTTATAGTGTAGCTTATGCAAATATATTTCATGCTGTAGATTACTAGTGAGCTACTGACGACAGCTATTGCTTTAAGTTTTTGTTATCTGCACGTTCACAGATTGTTATTTGGTTGGTTACCTGATGATGTTCTGAAAAGCTAATTAAAGGGGGGTACAAACACCATCAATGCCAGTTGTATGGATTTTATTCAGACAAATATCTTGTAAATATATTTTATTGTAGTAATCACTCAGTTAGACCTAAGGTATTTGTGAATAGAAATTAAAGGGTGAGATATTCTTGGGTAAAAGTGTTCCAGCTTCAAATAGGAGCCAGACTTAGGAAAATTAGCTTGATAAATCAGGGGGGGAAAGTGTTACTGGTTTGCTTTTTTAAGTAGTCTGGCAAGAAGGAACCAAAGTGAGCTGAAGGGGGAACTCAGTTTCTCAAGTTAAAGGATGATGTTTTGGCTTTTTACACAGGTGGTAGAGAGAGGGATACAAGATGAGGGGGAATGGTGATGGACAACTCTCCCCATGCACTAGGAACTCTCACAGAAGCAACAAATAATACAGATCCAGCACCTCTTTGAATTATATGCACAGTTCCTATATAAATTCTACATGTAGCATTTTGGAATCATGGTTTGGGAACATTATAGGCTCCTTACTATGAATAGCAGTACTAGAACAGGGCATGTAAATCTCTGTTAGGAGCAATGATAAGAAGCAAAGAAGCACTGCTGAGTGTACTGTGTCTTGATCTGTAAGAGTTATATTCCCCTGAATGGTCAAAAGGCTTTGCTAAGCTGCTCCTATTCAGTTTTGTTTACTACATTACCAGAAATGTATTGACAAAAAGGAGGGAGTTTATTGAAGAGCAATAAAAATATCAGGAGAATTGGACAGATTGGTTTATGAGGAAAGATTAAAAGCTTACACGGTGGAAAAACTGAAACTATTTAATATAGTATATCAGGGTGGGCAAATACCGGCCCATGGACCAGTTCCGGTCCACCAGGGTCAGGTACCATTGATTGCTGTTCCCATTGGTTGCAGATCACTGTTCCTGGCCAATGGCAGCTGTGAGAAGCACTGTCCTGAACTGTGCAGCTTTCTACCACTACCATTGTCTTGGAACAGCGATTCATGACTGTCAGCCGACGGTCAGGGCAGTGTATGTGTGTGTGTGTGTGTGTGTGTGTGTTACCGAGAAAAAGGTTTAACGTCCGTGACTTTACTGCTAGGACCGGGGTCCCATCGCAGAGGGCAGCCAACAGGCTGACAGATGCACCGAATTTATAGGAAGAGCTTATTACATCTCAGATTTTAGCTGCTAGGATACAGGATCCCTTCGCAGCGGACAGTCTAGGGAAGACTGAGAGATGCCCCAACGGATCTATCACCTGGGAGTGACACGATCCAAAACGCCCAAGCTCTTTCTATACCTGTCCCTTATGACCGGCTGAAATTCTTTTAAATTGTGCTTGGTTCTGTTACAGCAACTGAAGGAGTCAGGTTAAAGCTTAAACAGATACTATTTTATTGTTACAGGGTAAACTTAGCTGTTAAATGCTACTACTGTGTTACAGATAACACAGACACTACAAAGGACAGGACAGAAATTACACTAATAAGTCACTTACAGGTACCATGAAACCCTTTGGTTCTCTGAGCTCTTATTAAATGCATGCAAAATAGACACATAGCAGGTATATATTCTCACCCCTGCGTTCCAGACTTGGCGTGGCCAGCGTCTTTCTCTCAATCCCTCGGGAAGAAGTAGGGCGAGGTTGGGCGTCCCACAGCCCTCGGGAGACAATCAATACCTGCCAGCAGGTATAGATGATTGGAGCTCAAATGGGGTGGGCGGCTGAACCTCTTTTTATACCCCTTGGGTCATGTAGGCTTCTTCCTGGGCTTAAGTGGCCAATTAGGAAAAATGGCTTTGAACACCAAGTTTCCCACGAAGGGTGCAAAGCATAATTTACACCTGGGAAAATGCAGACAATGGGCACCTCTGGTATGTGATGGGCGAAGATTCCTCTCCTGGGACAGTGCAGGCGTGTCAATTACTGGTACTAGCCATCAGGGCGACGGGAGGTCTGAGTCCCTTTCTCTTGCCCTCGGGGGGGGGGGGCGGAAACCAAGATGGGGTTCATGTCTGGCTACAATGGCCAACAGCAGCTACAATCTGTGGTACCTATGTACGTGCAGGTAAATATAGTGAGGGCAGCCAACCGTGGGCTAGCCTAATGAACTGCAACCGTGTTATTACCTACCACTATAATGCATAGAAGTATAATTAAGTGTAATGAATGAAATTAAGAAACAAAGTTTGAGCTTATATCAAGAAAAGCCTCCTGATGGTGAGCTGTGTTAACCTGAGGATATTCATGTGGATATTTCTTGAGCTCTTTGAAACTATACTGAATAAACAGCACAAAGTATGTTGTAGGGAGAAATATGTGGCTCAACGGATAAACTGAATGGTCGAATACATCTTTGACTTCCACGACACTGTGATCTATTGCTGTTTAAGAAAATTGGTGATTAAATGAGTTTCTGGTACTAAATCTATATAATCTGTTAGGGTATGTCTACATTAGCCCCCTAGTTCGAAGTAGGGAGGCTAATGAGGGTGACCGAAATTGCAAATGAAGCACGGGATTTAAATATTCTGTGCCTCATTAGCATGTTCCCGGGCAGTCACCATTTTGGAAATTGACTAGCCCAGAAGAACTACCTGAGTCTACACGCAGCAGAGAAGGGCGATTCCGAAATAAACCCCTTTCTTCGAATTAACCCCTTCTCTGCCGCGTGTAGGTGCGGGCAGTTCTTCTGGGCTAGTCAATTTCCAAAATGGCGACCGGTATATTGTAAAATCCATATACTATAAACTTCTGATTGATTTATAGTACATGAAGATATGTGCAGAAAATTAAATGGTCAGGCAGATGTGATTCTAATAAACAGAATTTCTGAAATATTAAAAAAATCCTAAGTTAGTCATATTCTGTTCCAGTAGAATTTTCATCTGAAACAAGAGAAAAACTAGCTAGCACTGCAGTAATTGAGAATTTTTCGATTGTTTTCATTGTGTTGCTTGGATTACTATTACTTCAGCTTTGTACATGTGTTTATAAGCCAACTTTTGTCAAATTAAATCTTAGATCAACATCTGTTTTTCCCCGCCACAAATTGTCATCAAATACTATTTAGCTTTAATTAAGCTATAGAGGTCTAAGACAAAAATACTGATGTATTATTTAAAATAAATATATCTTCTTTCATTATTACTTTAATGGCTATTCATTTTTTTAATCACACGTATTGTAAAACATCAAGCCAGATTCTTAGCTTATGTACACTGGTACATTCCTATATAGCTAGTCATACTTACACCTGCTCATGTTTTGCCTCAGTATTTTAAAACTTTTTCTTAAATAAAACAACAACAAAACTTAAGTTCTGCAGCAAGAAAAAATTGGAAGAACTGAATGAACTATGAAAAAAATAGTTTATATAAAGCAGATTCTTCATTGTCTGAAAACAATGAAGGCCATTCTTGCAGTGTTGGACTTGTCAATACGTACAGGACTGCAGTTGTGCTTCTGTAGCATTTAGTGAAAACTCTACCTGTGCCAGCAGGAGAGATTCTGCCATTGCTGTAGATACATCATATCCCCAAGAGAGGGTTGCTATGTTCATAAGAGAAACTTGCTTACACCAGGGGTTCCACATTCCTGAGTGGTGTAGATACACTTAGATAAGATGGTAGTGTAACCAAGCCATGGTTAAAATCAAAGGAAAAAAATAATTACAGGCAGTCCCCGAGTTACGCGGATCCGACTTATGTCGGATCCGCAGTTACGAACGGGGATTTTCTCGCCCCGGAGGAGGCCGGCGGCGGGACCAGGGATCCCGCTGCACCAGTCCTCCGGGGCGAGAAAAGCTGCTCCCCATCTCCCTGGTCTGCTGGCTCCCCTAGCAGACCAGGGAGATGGGGAGCAGCTTTTCTCGCCCCGGAGGAGGCCGGCGGCGGGACCAGGGATCCCGCTGCACCAGTCCTCCGGGGCGAGAAAAGCTGCTCCCCATCTCCCTGGTCTGCTGGCTCCCCTAGCAGACCAGGGAGATGGGGAGCAGCTTTTCTCGCCCCGGAGGAGGCCGGCGGCGGGACCAGGGATCCCGCTGCACCAGTCCTCCGGGGCGAGAAAAGCTGCTCCCCATCTCCCTGGTCTGCTGGCTCCCCTAGCAGACCAGGGAGATGGGGAGCAGCTTTTCTCGCCCCGGAGGAGGCCGGCGGCGGGACCAGGGATCCCGCTGCACCAGTCCTCCGGGGCGAGAAAAGCTGCTCCCCATCTCCCTGGTCTGCTGGCTCCCCTAGCAGACCAGGGAGATGGGGAGCAGCTTTTCTCGCCCCGGAGGAGGCCGGCGGCGGGACCAGGGATCCCGCTGCACCAGTCCTCCGGGGCGAGAAAAGCTGCTCCCCATCTCCCTGGTCTGCTGGCTCCCCTAGCAGACCAGGGAGATGGGGAGCAGCTTTTCTCGCCCCGGAGGAGGCCGGCGGCGGGACCAGGGATCCCGCTGCACCAGTCCTCCGGGGCGAGAAAAGCTGCTCCCCATCTCCCTGGTCTGCTGGCTCCCCTAGCAGACCAGGGAGATGGGGAGCAGCTTTTCTCGCCCCGGAGGAGGCCGGCGGCGGGACCAGGCATCCCGCTGCACCAGTCCTCCGGGGCGAGAAAATCCCCGTTCGTAACTGCGGATCCGACATAAGTCGGATCCGCGTAACTCGGGGACTGCCTGTATAGAGTAAACAATTAATACACTCTTCTTACTAGAGCATCTCTGCTTTGCATTCACACTTTTTCATATATTAACTGGATCCCTGTATCTGCCACATTTTCAAAAAAGTTTTTTTTCCACTCCCAAATTATTATTCCCCCGGTGGTTCCTTCCATACTAAATATGGAGAAGTACAGAGGGTTCAGGAACCAACACAGCATGTGCATAACATGCATTCTAAGCTCTTAGCATCCTAAGCTCCAATATTTGAGATATTTCATGTCAAGTTTAAATGTTGCAATCCAATTTTGCTTTTTAGTACCACCACAAATAAAACTTATTAAGAATCTTTTTAATGAAACCATAGTAGGCCACATCGAAATAGCATTAATAGTCCCATTTGCAGGGTCACCATAAAGTTGTTAATCTTATGTTAAGAACTAGTCTGTATTACTAATAACAGTTCTCATTGTAAAATGGAATGCATTCTAAAAATCATACTTAATTTTCAGTATATATGCAGTTTGTCTATTTTTTGCATTTTGTAAGTTTTATATGCTAAAACTAAAATGATTATACTGTGGTTGTTTTTACTTCAAGCTGAAGACTGTTCTATCATGATTAGTTTTTAATTAGCAATAAAAACAATTAGCTCTTAATTTGAAATAAAAATCTGTTACTATGATTTGTAAACACTTTTCTTACAAAGTCTCAATCTTTAGACCCAAACCACCCACGAGTGTCCTTTAAACACACAAAAGAAAAGAAATTGCATACTTGTCCTTAAAGTGAATGCAAATTTTGGTTAATGAATTATTGTATGCATAAGCATCTCACATACCTAGACAACTTGGTGTTAGACACAGAGCTTTTCTGTGTAGAGAGAATTTTAGCTTTAATGGTAATTGTTTTACAGGTTTATGTAAGAGATTTTTAATTTTGTCTGAATAAAAAGTAGTAGTAGTGATGATCATTACTGGCATAGCATAATGCTCCATCTCAGCAGTTACACTACTCAGTTGTACATAATCCTTTCTAGTTCTCATAGACAATGGTGAGACCCACAGGGAATGACTGCATTTTGCAAATTAACTAACAAGTGAATACACACAGTTCTTTGTGTAGAATGGCTGAGTGCACATAAGCAGTTTCTTTTGTCACAATGATCTTGCTCACTTACAGCTTTTCTATCTATAATATAATTAATTGATGGGTAGAGTATCAGTTTATTTCTTCCCTTTGCTTGGGGACATTGTGTAACCATTGAGCATTATAGGCATTTACATGAAGGGGCTGGCAGAACAACATAGTAAAGAGTAGCAGTCATGCTGAAAACAGCAATGCAATCAACTCTAACATCAATAGAATATCCCACAGATGTAATATCCCATAGATATAATGTCCCATAGATAAATTATCACGTTTATCAAAAATAGTAAGTTTACAGAAAATGCTGAACTTTCTAGAATACTCAGTGATAATCCAAAAGACCCCTTTTTATGACTTTTTAATTTTTCCCCACACTCTTGAGAAACATTTTTAGTTGTGAAAATGCGGGGAAAAAACCCCCAAAATTAAAAATGTAAATAGCATTAAAATAATGGTGCGTTACTTTTTCGAGCTGTTCAGGTACAAGTCAAAACAGTTCCCGATTGTACCAGCTATTGCATAATTTAA